GTATATGAGTGTGCGTCCATGTATGTGAGCGATCATTGTATTTGGTCACCCTGTGTGCATGTTTTTGTTTTTTTTTTTTTGTGGGGGGTTACGATCTATTCAGTTCGGGTTTGAATTTGTCTATAAAGTTTTTTTTCCTGTATTTGTAGATACGAGTAATTGTCTGTTTGATATATCGGCATGATATTAAACTTACCCTGGTTACATTTGAAAATGTGTTGTGATACAAAAAGTTTTCTGTTGTCTGTCAATTTTATATTGCTTTTGTGTAGGGAGACCCTGTTGTTCAGTTGTTGGCTGATGCCTATATATGACTTCTTACATTTTGTGCATTTAAGTGCATAAACTACATTTTTGGAGTTGCAGTTTAAGTTTTTGTTTATTGTGAATGTTTTTTTTGGGTTTTCAAAAGTGTAGGAGTTTCCTTCTATAATGATGTCACAAACTCCACATCTTTTTTTTGTTGCATTTTTGTGACTCCTGTATTTTGTGTTGACTAAATTTAGATGAGGTTAATATGTGTTTTAGGTTTCTAGATTGGCGTTTGCTCTTAATTATTTTGGTTGTTTTTAGTATATTATTCAGTTTATTATTCTTGCTAAGTAAATCTAGATTTTTTGTGATTTCTGGGAATATTTCTGGGTTAATATATATATATATATATATATATTAATTGAATTTGCTTCAAACAAGGCAGTAAAGCCACGAAGACACAAGGAGTTACTTAGTGTGAAAGAAATAAAAAACAGAAAACATTATTATGGAGCGAGAACACTAGAAGATTAATCAGGAAGACAGTAGATAACTATTGGCATTGCATTTAGATTTTTGAAGATCAAATTTGGCCGGAAAGCAGGAAACCGGGAGAGTGTTCTGCAGACGAAAAGTGCGAGAAAAGAAATTCTTAGCATATAAATTATGGTTAGATCTAACCAAATCAAATGTAAATTGATAATACATTGTTTCCAATCTAGTACTGCCCTTAAATTCATAAAGTCTAGTTATCATAGAGGAAAGTTCATTCGAACAAATTCCATGAAAGTATTTATAGAAAATGCACAGGGAAGACACTTTAAGGCAATGGGAAAGTGACTGAAGCCGAGATGCCAGGTCAACGCCAATAATATTGTTGATTCTCCTTTGGATTTTATCCAGAATCTCTAAATATATTGCAAGAGCATCGGTCCGTATGTGACAGCAATATTCTAAGCATGAACGAATGGTAGACTTATACATATGTAAGATAAGATTATGGATAGAAAAATTGTCTGACACGACACAATGAACCAACTTTCTCAGCAGCCGACCTAACAATGGATTCAATGTCGTCTTTCCACTTCATGTCAGCTGAGAATGTTAGCCTGGAAGGCGCAACGAGTCACTCTCCCGGGAGTTAGCATGTATGTAATTGCGTATTTGGACAGCAATCCCTCTTTCATACAAGTTTCATTGAAGATGACTGACAAAGCAGTTCGATTAAATTTGTTGTTATACCTTTCTTGCATTCGTACAAGAGATTTCTTTTTTGTACCTAAAGTGTGTAAGAACTATCCAAGTGATCTTTGGAGTCGAGCGATTTCTGTTAATATATTAGCCATCATCAAGGAAGTTTCTATGTGTCTTATATATATATATATATATATATATATATATATTCAAAAATTTAAAAAAAACGTTTACTGAGACATTAGGCTCATAAGTCCCCAAAATTCATTCACCAATCCGTCCTGAGTATGGTGATAAACTATATCCGTGTCCTGGGTAAGACAACACCCAACAGCAAAGCCTCTGATCAGGAGGTTTTGAGGAGCATGGAACCACCTCTTAATTGCTGATGTTCCCAGATCCATCCTGACCTGGGGTGGTAGCTCCTGTTAGGGTCCCAGCTATGGGCAAATAGTTAATCCCCAAACTGGGGTCAAAAAGTATAAAAATTGGTTTTAATTCCAGCAACACATTTTTGTAAAATTATTACCACCAGCAAATTTTTGTAGAAAAAATTATTACCGCAGTACATTATCGCCAGCAATAAAAAAATAAATTTGGGAAAAAATATAGCAGCAATACATTTTTTGGAAAAAAAAATATTATCAGCAATAAAAATTTTGTCGGCATTAAATAACCCATTGAGGTTGATATTCCGTAAAACAGACCAAACCAAACCAAATCATTTACCGATGTTCCCAGTAACATGGTCCCGTGGATAAAAGCGCCGGTTGAAGTAATCCAGAGAACCAAAGAGTTGTGAGTTCAAAAAGCTATCAGTTTCATACACGCTTCCTTTCATCAAGCGGGCGATAGCAATAGCTTGCTCGAAACTGGTAGTCGCGGCCGTTCATATGTACGCCGAACGTACCATCTTCAGATACACATCCTCAAACATGCAATCTTCAGGTCGTGTCTAATGACTAAGACCCGAAAATACCGTTCAAGTATGAAACATTCTGTCGCAGCTCAGTGTTGACCTCATTGTACACTTTTTATATATATATATATATATATATATATATATATATATATATATATATATATATATATGCGGTATTTATTGACCCCTCCCCGACTGAGTCTGGTTGTGACACAAGGTCAGTTTTTAACGTGGGGACCCGAGTGTTTTTACTCGAGCCGCTTGTCCATGCTACTTAGCTAGTCAGAGCTGGTCTTGGCTTGTCATAGCTAGTCCAAGCTGGTCAGAGCCAGTCCAAGTCAGTCGTAGCCATGATACCACCAGCACAGGGACGGAGGCCTGTGACCGGTAAGTATCCAAGTGCGTACATCCAAGGAGAAATTTACGCACTCATATATATATATGCTGCATATATATAAATATATATATATATATATATATATATATATATATGCAGCATATATAATTTAAATGTGTTTTGTTGAATAATATAGAGATCTTGTGTCAACTTATTTTTATAATGATCCTTTCAAGTTGTCTTATTAGTTTCTTGATATTGAGAAGAAGGCGTCGTAGTTTGTTTTTTGTTTTTTTTACCCAAGTACTTTCGACCTTTCCTAAGATTATTTTCAGGGCTAAAATTACAAAGACAAACATGCTATTGTAACTGCGATAAAATGAAAGACATACTTAAACATTTGTTTCTGTAGTTATGCTATTTTTTAAAAATCTGTGTTCCGTTGTCATAGTGATTTTTGAACACGCGTAAACGCAGACTGTTATAGTTATTTGGGGTCAACTATGGCAAAACAATATGTAAATTTTAATATGTCAGGAAATTTTGTGGATACTTATTGCGTAAATGAACAAATGCGCCACAAGAAAAGCGGCTAGACTATATAGTCAAACACATATTTAAAAAAAATTTAATTCAAAATTTTAACGTTCCGGTTCCTTTTATGTAAATGAGTAATAATATCAAGTTAAACATAACTTTAGTTGTATAAATTCCTAAAGAATGAAACACATCACACGAAAAAAATGTCCACTTTGTTATAGTTTCCCTAAACACCATAACTTGATAAGACACAAGGAATGTTATAAACAAAATCACTATTTTTGTGGTGATGTTATGTTTACGTCATAATTTTTGAATAAATAATATTTCCTCTACTCTGTATTGATCACACTTTCAAGAATAGTATTTTTAGTTATTGGAATTTATTCCGTCTACACCAATCCTATACTTGAATATATATATATATATATATATATATATATATATATATATATATATATATATATATATATATATATATATATATATGAAAATTTCTCCGATTTAACCAGTAGAAAAACAATATTTATATATAATATAATTATATATAATATAATTATATAATTAATTATATAATTATATATATATAATTATATATATATATATATATATATATATATATATATATATATATATATATTATATATATGAAAATTTCTCCGATTTAACCAGTAGAAAAACAATATTTATATATAATATAATTATATATAATATAATTATATAATTAATTATATAATTATATATATATAATTATATATATATAATTATATTATATATAATATATATATATATATATATATATATATATATATATATATATATATATATATATGAAAATTTCTCCGATTTAACCAGTAGAAAAACAATATTTATGAATAAAAATGACAATAAGAAAACTAGTAATTGCTGACGCGTTTCACCCAATGTTGACTTTATCAAAGCAAAATACGAACATTTTCGTATTTTGCTTTGATAAAGTCAACATTGGATGAAACGTGTCAGCAATTACTAGTTTTCCTATTGTCATTTTCATTCATAAATATAAATATATATATATATATATATATATATATATATATACACAGACGCATATATGTGTGTGTGTGTGTGTGCACCCCCTGGACACTCCGAAATTAATGCCTCCGATGTATTTTCTTGGAAAATGGAACTGCATATATATATATATAATACTAGCTTAAAAGTCGCCTTATCTTGATTGGGCCTTTGGCTTGTTCAAGTCTTTGAGAATCCCTCAGTCTTTGCATATTCTCAGCATTCGAAGCTCTCCTGGCTACGGTTTGATCTGGGTTTTCATTTCATTTTCAAAAAAAGAAATATCCAACACTTAAAAATATCAACTGTGAACACGGCCACAATGTGCCGACGTGTTTATAAAATACCAAAAAAATCATTACCATCACTCTATATATAAAAATCTAAAGATTCAGTTAAAAATAAAAAAAGAATAAAATAAACATCCTTGATAATGACTAATAGAATAGCCGAAAGCGCTCGAATATAGAGAACAGTCGGGCAGTTTTTACACACTTTATAAAACGTGCGTGAAAGACTGATGTATCAACTCGCCTAATGAGTTTTTACAGTCTTTTAAAATCATTCACTGTATATATATATATATATATATATATATATATATATATATATATATATATATACCCAGCCTCCACACTAAGGCAGGATGTGACACAAAGTCTTTTTTACGTTTTTTGTGTATGTGAAGAATGGACATCTGCAATGGCACATATTAGCAACGCCTCTTCATCTCGCTGTAAATCTAGAATTTTCTTTCAATATTCCAGACTAAAATTCCCTCCTCACATTTCATTCGTGTCCGGTTCCTGGGAAGCCCATGTTGGATTATGCCAACCAGATTTACCCAAGTAACGGTCAGATTTGATATCATTTTTGATTTTCTGCTAGCAGACCCTGTGACACTGGGAGTGTTTGCTGCCCACATTAAACAATGTTTATTACCATAAGTTGGCAACCATCCCATAAACATTTTTTTTTTTTTTTTTTTTTTTTGCTGAGGACAGCAATTTTTATATCGGCTTCAGTAAGAAGCTGTAGAATTCTACAGGGGAATTAATTTTAGATTCGAATTTCATAGTCAGATTCGACAATAGGAATCTCTAGTTATAAAAGAGCAAAATTTTAAAGAAAAAAAAATGCGTTTTTCTTATGACATTCAAACGGCGAGACTTGGTGAAACTTATCTGTTACCTCCCTCTGTCTTTTCTATAAATATTTTCATGGTAATTGTTTGGATGAGCTCTTTAAATATATATATATATATATATATATATATATATATATATATATATATATATATATATATATATATTGCAATATAAGCAACAGGTAGGCTCTGTAGTAGTTAAACAAACACAAATGTGTCTGAACAGGCGTCTGCAACAGGGATTGGCTAGCCGCCCTAAAAACAGGCACACCCAGATATAAGTGGCCAGCCACCATATTATGATAAACCCTATTAATATGACAATGGTATGATTACTATTTTAAACCGAATATTATGCTTTTTTTTCATGCAAATTTGGCAGATACGGTTTCACTGTGTAATACTGATTAATAAGATAATCTCAAAAGCTATTATTACTGTTGTAAGTTCGATCCATACTGAA